AAACAAGCCACTTCAGAGATGTGAGCAAGCAATTCCAGGAGAATACCTAGCAGATGTGTGCAAGCTATCCAGAGCTCCCAGAGAGTCTCCTGGTGTCTAACAGCTGTAAAAATCATTATTGCTTTCAAGTAAACTCGGGGACAGCTCCCTGCCAGCCCTGGATACTTCTGCTTGTATTGTATTTGCAGGGAATCTGAGGCCTCTCAGCTTCCCAGGAGAAAAATCCTGGGCAAAGGGATTTTTCAGAGAATGTGAATGCCACATGCTTGAATTACAGGATGTCTCTCTGTTGGGTTATGGCTGCTGTGAGAGAATGGTGATCTGGCAGCACCAGATCCATTATCCCTCTCTGGGATGAAATGCCCAAGGTCTCCCCAAGCAGTGGTGAAGCTGGAATTGCTCCCTCCTGTGTGGAGTGACACCAGAGTGTGGCTGAAGTGAAGCTGCAGAGAACAACTCCAACATTCAAGAGCTCTCAGGAGCTGCCGCCGTTGGAAGTCACGAGGCAGAGCTGGGCCATTTCTTTGTCTGGATGTGCTTTTAGAGCTTATGAGCCTCAAACTCTTCTCTAGCTGAAGGGAAAATCCATGACAGAGCAGAATTTGGACGCAAAACTTCATGTGCTGATTAACTCAGTTCAGTACCTGCAGCCTCTGTCAGCAGAGTTCTGGGGACAGTGACCAGAAGTCCCTCTGGCAAACACACATGGCTGCTTTGCACCTATGGGAAACTCATGGGCAGTGACAGAAAAAAAGATTTTGGAACTCATTTTCACCATCAAGTGCAGTATTCACATAATCTTTGAACAGAGAGAGACATAGTGCTCTCTCTGTGGATTTTTCCGGGGGAAGGCAGTGAGAAAGATCAGAGAGAGAAGAGAAAACAATTTTTATCTCTATTTGCTGCTCCTGTTGTTTGGCACATGTGGAATGTGTTAGGGAGGTTGTTTACTGAGGAGTCATTTGTTAATTGGACTCTGCTGATGGTTGTTTGGACTGACTGGCCAATTAGTCAAAGCTGTGTTGTGACTGTCTGGTAAGGGTCACGGGTTTTTCTTTAGTAGTATAGTTTAGTATTAGTGTAATATAGTTTAGTATAGGATTAATATAGTATGTAGTGTAATATAGTATAGCTTAATAAAGCATTTGTCCAGCCTTCTGAATCATTTGAGTCATTGCATGTTGTTCCCTGGCTGGGGTTCTCCTTGAAACTACAATCAAGCAGCTCCAAAGGAGTCACAGGCTGTTCCCCAGCAGCGCCCTGCAGCCCAGCCCTCTGCATTCCCTGCCCTGTGCCAGGGGTCACATCTGCATCCTGGCACCAGGACAGACTGGGCTGAATCCACACTGGCTGGGAGATGCCCACGGCATTTTAGGGTTTCGGTTCTGAAGATTTAAAGTGTGATTGCTCTCCTTCCTCTCCAAGTGGGATTGATCCTATGACCCCAAATTGCCCTTAAGACCAGAACCATTGAGCATATCCATACAAAATTCTTGATATGTACAAACACCAGCTCTCATGAGCCAGTTAAAATTTTTGAGGATTTTTTCTTTTATTTTTTTTTATTATTCTATAACTGCATATCCATCTTACTTACTCAAATTAATGGGTGTGATGATAATAAATGTCTAATAAACTATCTCAGGCTCCAGTAATTCCCATGGATTTCACCAAGAATGTTTTGGGTCTCTCCAGTTCCCTTGATAGCGGGGAGGATCCTGGTTTTTCAGCAGTGTGACACAGGCTGCTGTTCAGCTGAGGCACACCCAGAGACATGGAGCTATTTGCAGGGTTAAAAGTGTACCAGCATAAACATTGTTGGAAAGTAGTGGGAATAGTTGTATTATTTATTTCCAGAGTATAAATTGCATGCTGTTAAGACAGAAAAATGAGGAGTGTATTCCCCCTAGATATCCATTAGAAAGAAGAGAAACCCCTTTTGGGGTCTGAGGGGGAAGTGGGAGCAGCACAGAACAGCTGAGCCTGCCACAGGCAGCAGGAGCAATCATTTCAGGAGTGATTATGCCAAAGTAGGAAGATTACAAATCCCACCTGAAAAATAAAATATAAATATATGGGGCCTGGTGAAGGAAGAGAGAGAGAGAATTTGTCAGGCAGGATTCATCAAGCACAAGGAATGCCTCAGACACTGCAGCACATAAGCACAGCAGGGATCGTGTGTCCGAGGAGCTTCCCTGCCTGGCTGGTGACTCAAGAACTTCCACAGGGATGGAGTGAGAATGCCAGGGCAGCCTGGCACAGAGCACAGCCCCAGTGCAGCATGCCAGGGCAGCCTGGCACAGAGCACAGCCCCAGTGCAGCATGCCAGGGCAGCCTGGCACAGAGCACAGCCCACAGCAGCTCCCTCTGGGGCTGCCACACGAGTGGTTAGCAGGCACCTCCAGAGGCTTCTGCCCAGAAACCCTGTCAGTCAGCAGGAAAGAGCTGTTTAACAGTCCAGACAATTGTTTGTACAGTTCCACGCTTGGCTAAATCAAGCAAGCAAATGGTTCTTTCTTCCTCCTTCTTCTCGTGCTGCTGCCTTAAGGAGGGGCTGGAGAAGGGGCAGTGCTGTCAGGGCAGGCTCCCCCTCAGGAGGAAAACACCAAAGCTGCCACTCCTACGGGTCTATTTGCCCAATGCCATGTGATTTACAGGTCTATTTTATCCATCATTCTCTGTGCATTTTGTAAATCTCTGTGCATGGTGGGGTTATCACCTGCCACAGCAGCATCTCCACTGCTGAACCATGAGGTCGAAGACCCGCCAAGTTTCCTTGAGTCCTTCTGCCTGGCAACAAAGCACATTGCCCTGAGCTCCTTCCCTCCTTCCCAAGGGATTTAACAATGATGTCCAAGTGGCCACTGAGTGTAAATGAAGCCTCAAACCATTCCTGAGTATTCCCTGCACCACCTTATCTGCCAGTTTAAGGAGCTGTACCTTGGTGTCTGCATAAACAGCTCTACTACTTCTCGAATTTTTTAAGATCAAGCTACTTTTGATATGCAAAAGGCTCTGAAATGTGCATTTCCTGTTACCCTTCTTGTTGTAAAGGTCAGGAAGCTAAATAAACTCCATTTTCCCTTATTCCTCTCTTTCCAGGTAGCATTGAAAATATAATGTAAATATAATGAAAATGTACTGTAAAACCAGAACCCCAGAACCCATGAGAAGACATCCCAGGAATCCCTGCTTGACAATATCCTTGAATTTCCAGTAAATGTTAAATTTTGTCATGGTTTTTTTTTGATGGTTTGTGACATGCTGGCAGGTGAATTGATCACATTAATACGAGTGGCTGACACAGCATTTGCAGCACTCTGTCCAGACCACTTCTTCTTGCTGTTTTGCTCTCTCCTTTGTCATTTCTTTTGAGACTGGTGCTTTAGAAGAGCTGCAGGCCTTTGCTATTATTCTCTACTCCATAAAAACTCAATTACTGGAGTCTGAGAGCCTGCCTGGAATCCAGGGGGACAAAGAAGGGCCCAGCCAAAGGAAAACCAGGAGCCAGCTGTGCCACCCTCTGGTACCACAGAGGGCGGCAGGAATGGGCAATTAACGCTAATTAGGGAAAGAGGTAGCTTCCTTTGGGAGTTTTGGACTGGTTTTTTACTCTGAATTCAAGGGAAATAAAGGAGAAGGGGGTTTTGGCAAGGCCAGGAGCTGAACCCGGGTGGGTGCGACCCCATTGTCAGTCCAGGCTGAGGGATGAACAGACCAGGAGCAGCCCTGGCAAAAAGGATTGGGGATCCCTGTCCATGGCAGGGGGATTGGAGCCACAAGACCTTGAAAGGTCCATTCTGTGATTCTATGGGTCTATGGAAAAGTATGTTTTAGGAAGGTTCTGTCAAAAAAAACCACAACAAAACCAAAACAAAAACAATAAACTAGTTGTTATTAAAAATCACATATTTTTTCTTGTTTCTACAATTTAACATATTTATTATACTATTAATATATTAATATGGCACAAAATATAATTTATATAAAATGTGTATATAATATGTGTACTTTAATTCTATTTGTTGATGTTTGTTTGTCAGCAAATTGAGAAATAGAAGACCTTGGTACAAGCTTATAAATAAAACTTCTACCCTTTTGCTTATCTTCCCTGCTCAGATGCTCCTGTTTGGTTCAGTGGCATTAATGGAGTGAGAAGGAGATGAAAAAGTGGCTTCAAGAGCTCAGCTTTCAAAGAGGCTGGTGACCCTTTTCTTCAGGTTTGAAAATTATTCTTTTTGATCAGAAGTAAAATATTTTGCTCAGATTTCAAGTTTTATTAAAACTTTTTAAAATTAAATGTAAATTAGAAGACAACTTTAAACACAATAATTTAAAATATTTACATCAAAGTTGTCAAAGCTGATTGACACATGGACGCTTATTTTGACTAAAGTAACATGATTGCTCTAACTTCACAGAAAACTCTGGTTCCCACATTACTTATTTCTCCTGCTTTATAGAAAATATTTTGTTCTTATTAAAAGAAAATACAGGGATTAGGGTATGTTTGGCTGTGTAATTTTTCTTTTCTTTTCTTTTCTTTTCTTTTCTTTTCTTTTCTTTTCTTTTCTTTTCTTTTCTTTTCTTTTCTTTTCTTTTCCCTCCTGGGGTGGAAACTCCTTAATTTAAAGTATTTGAAATTAAAGATTTTATTATGTTCAAAGGGCAATCCTCCATTTCTGAAGCAATAAGTATGACACAAAATGACCCAAACATGCTCTTCCATCACAGTTTGGGTGTTAATGTCGCAGACAAACCTGAAACCTGAGCGGCCAATTGCCAGCCAGGAGCTGAGCTATCCTAGGGAGAGGACAGAAAATCTGAGTTACTTTACTTTCCACCAACCCGGATCAAGAGATTTCCTTTTGATAAAAAGGAAATCCATTGAAAAACCCAATGAAAAAAAATTTCTCCAGTGCCATTTTTGGTGATGGGTGAAGCCAGCTTTCAAAACCTTTGCGAAAATCTTTGGGAAACAAATGGAAAAGGAGCCCGACATGCCAATGACAACAATTCAGTGTGAGGAGCCGATGCCTTTGAGCGGGATTTGGGGGTTGTTTTAGGACAGGAGCTGTGTTCGAGGGTTACACCCGCATTCTTTGTGTGTGACACTCACCCTTGCACTCAAAGATGATTTTCACAGCTGCTCTCCGGGCTCATTTTCTGTCGCTGAGCTCCCTGAGCCCGGACCCGGGAACGGGACCGCTCCTGCCCAGGCCGGCTCAGCCAGGGACACGCCTGAAGAACCCTCTGCCGGCTCCCAAAATCCACGCCAGCCCTCCCAGCCTCGGGGACGAGGCACAGCGGGGCTGCCCGGGTGACATCTCACCAACCTCCTGCCACAGGTTCCTCTTCCAGCCCGGCATTTTTCGCGTTTTTCCCTTTAGTTTATGAGCCAAACCCACGGAACGCCTCTTTTTTTTTTTTTTTTTTTTTTTTTTTAATTTTTTTTATTGCTGTTTTCACGCATCAGGTCGCCGTGTGCCCGCGGCTGCCGAGGGGGAGTGGGAAGGGCTGGTTGGGAAGCAGGAGAACAGGGAGCAGCGTTTCCACGCGTTTCCCGGAGGGAAGGAAGGAAGGATTCCCTGCTGGAGCGGGAGCAGCGGGCGCTGCGGGGCGGAGGAGAGAGGGGGCGGCTCCTCCGCCTGCCTCGGTAAGTGCTGCCTCGGAATCCCCATCCTCATCCTCATCCCCATCCCCGGGCAGATCCTGACACCGGCCGGGGCTCCCCCCGGGCACCGCTGCCGCTCCCCGCTCCGGGTGGGACCCCCTCTATTGCAGGCTACTCCAGGCACGTCCTGAACCCTCTGTCCGAAGGACAGACCTCCTTCAAACACGATCTCCCCCTCGGGAAGGGTTCCCCCCTCTTCTTCCCCACCTCCAAGACAGATCCCCTCCGCGGGCAGGACCCCAGCCCCTCCCCGGGCCGATCCCTGCTGCCCGGGCTGATGCTCCGCAGCATCCTCGGCGTTTTGCCCTACCTGGGGCCGGGGGTTTTGCTGCCCTGGGGGTTGGGGCTTTTGTCCCCAAAGGTTTGGCAGGTTTGACCCCAGGAAGGGTGGATTTGGCACCCCGGGACTGTGGATTTGCACCCCGGTTGTAGTGTCTTTGTAATTAAGGGTTTGGTGCTCTGCACTACAGGGGTTGGGGTTTTTTGCACCACTGGGTTTGGAGATTTTGCACCCCAGGGGTTGGGGTTTTTTGCACCTAAGGGGTTGGGCTTTTTACACTCCAAGGGTTGGGGGTTTTGCTCCCCAGAGAATGAGGGGTTCTGGCACCCCAGGGTTTGGGGTTTGGCACCCCAGGGTCGGGGTTTTGGCACCCCGGCTCAGCTCCTGACTCCGGTGAGCACCCCGGTGCTCGCAGCGCGGGTCTGACCTCGCCTTGAGTTTTACTGCTGCGACGTCGCCCCGGTCCCTCCTCTCTCCCCGGGGCTGCCAGACCTGCTGTGGCCGTGCAGGAGCCTTCCCGTCTGCCGGGGGGCATCCCAAACGCTGTGCCGGCTGTGGGTGAGGATTTTGTCCCGCTTCGGGGCAGGAACCATCATCCTCAGGCAGCCAGGCTGGGAGCAGCTCCCTGGGGAGGGATCGGGGTTCCCTCCGGGCTGGGAAAACGCGCTCCGGGCTCGGGGACAGCCTGGGCTGCTTCTGCCGACACCTTGGAGGGTAAGGATGTTGTGTTTTACTGTGTTCCTATCGCCGGCAGACCTGCCTTTCACAGCTCTCCCAAACCCCTCTGATTTTATAGATTCCCACGGTTCCCAGCCCCGCGGCTCTCCGAGAGGACGTAGGAGCGCAGGTTTGGGGGTGGCAAGAAATCGTGCCCTGAGAAACGCTGTCCTTCCAGCGGGAAAGTTGGATAGAGGGGGAGAGAGGGAAGGGAAGTCAGTGCAGAGGCTCACTCGCTGCCTCGAGTGCGTGTTGTGCCGGTGGAAGCATCCCCAGGCGTTCTCCCCCTCCTTTATCACCACCCACAGCCTTGCACGGCTCGACAAATGGCTCGCCCTGTTCAAAAATCACTGAGCTGCTGCAGTTTCCTCATGGGAGGAGGAGGGAAAGGTGTGCGAGGTCCTGGGGCAGGCATTGTTCCCTGCTCCCATGTGCTGGTTTGTGCCTGATTCGGTGGAGCAACAAAGCCTGGCAGCAAATAATTCCCAGTAATATGTTTTCAGTTTTCATCATTCCTCTAAGATTTTAAAGTGCAGTCAGCCTTGAGATTGCAGAACTTTTTTCCCCCCCTCCCTTGCCATCAAAATATGCCTTTTACTGATGAAATTAACCTTTAGCTTGGGATTTGTCTGCTGTATAAATTAGGTCAAACTTTCTGGATATTAAAGGGGAACAGAAATGGTGGAGTTTCTTTGCTCAGGCAGCCTCAGAGCAGAATCCAACCCATCAGTTTTTTGAAAGGAAGTAAAATTATAATATCCAAAAAAAATCACTGCAAACCCTAAGGCATCTGAGATCCCCAGGAAACCTGGGGAGATCCCATATCATGGTGCAACTGGGCATTTGTCCCTTTGGTTTAAGAGGGCTCATACAAGGAAGCTGCATGACTGATGTAGAAAGATTGGGCTGTCTCAGCAGTGTAGCCACATGGGCTGCTGCACCTCACAGGAGTATTTAAAAGCTCCAATATTTCAAGCTGAGGAAGTGCATCCCTGGGAAAGATGACATGTCCTGATTTGTCCCAATAATTTCCACAGAGAGGCTGAGATGGTATCATCCCCTGCTTCCCTGTATTGACAATTCTCCAGGCAGTTTGAGAGCAGCTCTTCTTAGTGAACTTACCACAGAGAGGCTGAGATGGTATCATCCCCTGCTTCCCTGTGTTGACAATTCTCCAGTTTGAGAGCGGCACTTCTTAGTGAACTTACTTAATTTAGCACACTTGGGATAAAGGTTGGCTTCTCAGTCAGAGGCAAAAGGATCCAGACATCCACCCTGGGCTGTGAGAGGGACTGTGGATGAGATTCCAGGGACTCTGCCAGGGCATTCTTGAAAGGGATCAGGGGCAGCAGGATCCTGTTGCCTGCACCCTGAAATAGAGTTCAAGGTGCAAACCTGAAGTTTCAAGAATCCCTCACCCCTTGTTTTTATTGTTGGAGAGATGGATGTCGAATAAGGACAGGCTTATTTCCAGTCCCTCAGCCTTTGTGTGGATTTAAAAAAAAAAAAAAAAAAAAAAGACAAGAGTGTTTCTCTGGTGTTTTGTGAGTGTGGGCACATCTGTCTGCTGGTTTTGTGCACTGTCATGCTCCTGTGTGCATCCTGCATTAAGGATAATGCTGCTGTGAGTTTTTCACTGGAGAAGACCTTTGAACCAGGCTGGTGGCTGAGATGGTACTTGAGGAGCACAAAGAGCTCGCAAAGACTAATTCTAATAACCTTGTCCTAATTCTGCTCAAAGTCTGAGAGTGGTGTGTGTTCACAGAGCAATGTGAGTAATGATCTGCTTTAATTGGAGTCGTTCTAACACTGATACAAACTTAATGACTGTGTGGGAACAGTCATTCTTCGCAGGAAGGTGTGACTTCAAAACCTTCTTGTCTCAGTGTTACATCTAAAAAAACCCAAATAATTAATCCAGAATTCTCATCTATCATTCTCATCTACCCATGAACAAAAATTTGACAGTGATTTTTAAAAACCTGAAGACTGAATGTTTTAAGCTTTAAAATTTGACATAATTTGTTTTTTTTTTTCTTAAAAAAACCTGATTTTTCATCAAACTTGATTTTTTGCTGTTCATGTCTTAGCAGCCTATCCTAATGCTGGATGGGCATTAGGGGGTTCACTGGATGTGCTCAAGTGTTTAAACTGGTTAGGGGTCAACTCGAGGTGGGGTCAGAGGGCATTTTCCAAATCCTGTAGAGGCACCAGAGGTGTGAGGACACCAGCAGGGGTGGGAGATGAGATGGAGGATGGATGTGGAGCAGGAATGGCCCTTGTAGAGGAGGGTTCTGGAGCCTGGCTCCTGTGTGGCCATGTGCCATGTCCCTGTGGACTTCCCACCCGTGTCCCTGTGGATTTCCCAGCCATGTCCATGTGGATTTCCCAGCTGTGCCCATGTAGATTTCCCAGCTGTGTCCTTGTGGATTTCCCAGCTGTATCTATGTAGATTTTTCACCCCTGTCCCTGTGGATCTCCCACCCGTGTCCCTGTGGACTCCCCAGCCGTGTCCCTGTGGATCTCCTATCCCTGTTCCTGTCGATTTCCCACCCATGTCCCTGTGGATCTCCCACCCGTGTCCCTGTGGATTTTCCACCCATGTCCCTGTGGACTCCCCAGTCATGTCCCTGTGGATCTCCCATCCCCGTCCCTGTGGATCTCCCATCCCTGTCCCTGTGGATCTCCCATCCCTGTCCCTGTGGATTTTCCATCCCTGTGGATCTCCCATCCCTGTCCCGGTGGATCTCCCATCCCCATGGATCTCCCATCCCTGTCCCTGTGGATCTCCCATCCCCATCCCTGTGGATTTCCCATCCCGCTGTCCCCGAGCTGTCTGTGTGGAGCACACAGGGAGGAGAACAGCCTGAACAATTCCTTCTGCCAGGAAACGTGGCTGCATTGAAACCCAACTGTTCCACAGGAGCTCATCCAGCCTGATGACACCCTCAGGGGAGCTGTTAGAAAGAATGGCACAAAATATCCTCTTTCCTGGCAATTATGGGAGAGATGGAGACTGGATTTTTTATTTTATTTTATTTTTATGGGGCGTTACCAGGATGTGGAATGTTGTCCAAGGAGCATTTTCATTAGGACTGAGGAACTTAAGACACCCTGCAGACTTTCAGCAGTGCTGGCCCAGGGGGCTGCCTGAGATGATGCCCAAAAACCTGCTTGTTCTCAGTGCTGGAGGAGCAGGAGAGCTTCAGGTTTCAGCCAGTGGCTCCCAGCTCCAGTGAGGAAGAGCTTCCTTCTTTATTTTTTTTTTTCTTTTCTAGACAGCTTGAGCCTTCTCTTAATTTTGTTTTTAATTTTTTAAATTTTTTAAATTTTTTCCTTGAAAGAAAGGAAACCACTAAATCCAGGAAATAAACAGGAGTCAGGGGATGGAGCTGAGGATTTTGAAGGATGGGTAGGTGCATGAGCAGACAATTACATCCAAAGACAAAGTCACTATTGCTTTCAGAAAATGCAGCTTCACACTTGTATAGGAACACTTGGAAGAAGTCAGCAGGTGGAAAAGAAACACCTGGGTGGTGTAGGCTGCTTGGAATTCTGAAAAGTTTTCAATACAGTCCTTCATGGAGGGAGCTTTTAAGGAAATGTAATAGTCCTGAGTTAAGAAGGAAGTTCCCTGTGTGAAAAAATGTGGGAAATGTATTGGTAGAAATCTACAAATCCATTTCCCACATTGAAATACTTGTCTGAAAGGTGACATGCAGGAGGGGTAAGTGCATGGTGAGTTACAGAGAGGTCAGGGATGCTCTTTACAGGGATGGGGGTTGGGATATATGAGGTTCTAGAGACTGTGGATCATGAAATGGTGATATTTACAGGCTGAAGAAAGTTTAACCAGGGCATGAAGGAAAATGTCTGACTTAATGAAGTGAAGAAAAGTTTTTATGAGACTCATTGAGCATTACAGTGGAAGAAAGAAATCATCTGTGAAGTGATGGGGTTTTGAAAAGATGGAGATAACTTAATTTCCTCATTTCATGGTATTTTCCCGTCTAAAGGACTCTGAGCTCTTGCTGCTGTCCAGGAACAGGACCTTGGGATGGCCACAGCCCAGGGGAAAGGGCAGCTCAGTGCCACTCACTGAGCAAATCATGTCAGGATGGTGGTGACGGGGGAGCAGGACAGAGCAGATCATGCCCTTAGGCAAATCCACAGGTAAATCTTGGAGCTTGTTTGGAGCTCTGGTCCTTCTCAGAGGCTCAGAGGAGCAGGAGGGATGGGCAGGAATCCTCTGCTGCTTCCCTGTGAGGAATGAGCAGGCTGGCAGGTGAGGGGGGAGCTGGTGGGGTGTGACAGAGGCTGCGGAGCCAGCAGTGGCACTGAGGAGTGCGTGGGGATGGGCTGTGGTGTCCCTTCCAAGGCAAGGACCAGAGGCACCGAATGCAGCTGGCTGGGGACAGGCTCAGAACAAGCACAGAGAGGTTTCTCTGCTGGGTGCAGAGCTGAGCCAAGGGAGTTGTTGCCATAGGAGGTTTGGCCATAAAAAGTTTGCTGGGCCAGAGAGGCAGGACAATTTCGTGATTCAGAAATCATTGGAAACATCTTAAGAGGCATCCTGGACCATAGGCTGCAGGAAGGACAAAGAGATGTTGGGAGTATTTAGCTGCCTTGTTCTTACACCCCTCCTAAGACAAAGTCTGGCCCCTGTGAGGTCAGGCAAGTTGGGCTACAGGGATGTTATCCAGGCCCACCCTCACACTGCACTCAGAAGGATGCCCTGGAGATGTGGGATTGACCTGAGGGTACTGTGGAAGCAGACCCTGGTCACAGGAGAAGTGATGATATTTAAATAGAACAATTTGTCATTTGGAAATATTTCTATAATTCTCTTTTCCCCACGAGTTTTGTCTTTGTGTTCCCTCAGCTACACCAGTGAGCTTTGAACTGCTGGAGTTTGTGCAGGGCATCATTCCCACCTTCCCACCTACCTGTGACACCACTTTGTAGAGTCTGGGAACTGAGCTGTGGACACAGGCATGTGGATTTCCTCAACAGAAAAGTCCCCACTTAAGGAGTTGGGAGCATCACTCCCATCTGGGCACAGAGGGAACATGAGTCAGGGACTCTGGGGTCAGGGCTGCACCTGAGACACCTCAATGTGATGGTCCTCCAGCACAAATAACTCTGTGATTCCATGATTCTGCTCCCTGTGGAGCTGCTGGCAGCCCTGCTTGGCCATTCAGGCTGGAGGATGGAGCTGCCCACTGTGGTAGTAAAAAACCCCTAAACTTCAGAGTCTGAAAGAGCACCAGGACAAGCTGGGGCACAGCACAGACTGAGCAGTGGGGCTGTGGCAGCAGCCAGCCTGGGCAAGCAGCCCCAGCTGCTCTGGGGGTGGCAAGGATGGTAATGAGAATGTAGAGCCACAGAATGGCTGGAAAGGACCTTAAAGATCATCTAGTTCCAGCCCCCACGTCGTGTGGACTTGGCATGCTGTTCAGTGGGATTTAGCCCAGCTGCTTTAATTTTTGATTTCTGTTGTTTTCTTTTCCTCTCTCTGCTCTCAGTACTTTTTTTTTTTTTTTTTTCCTGGTCTCATGCTTCATCTGATGATGCATTTTCATTCACAGGAGGGCTTTTAATTGCTGTGAAGGACTTCAGTCAATGCTTCACATTTATCCTACCCTCAGGATTTCAGACACTTCTAATGGGCTGCTAACCCAGGACACAGGAACAGCAGGGTATGTGGATTTTTCCTGGAGCAAATGAAGCAAAAGTATTATTTCCATCCCCCCCTTCACACACCTACAAATCATCATTGAAGTAATTCTTTTTCTCCTCTTTTGTCTCGTTCAGATTTTAACAGTGGGAAGATGCTGACGGACAGGAATGAATCCTGGCTCTCTAATTTCTCCTCTGCTGCCTCCTCCTTTGCAAGGGGAGGGGTTGGGCTCCAGGAGGTGCTCGTGGGGCTTGTCCTCACCCTCATTGACGTGGTGACACTGCTGGGAAACACCGTGGTGTTCCTCTGCCCCGTGGTGGAGAAGAGGCTGCGCACTGTCACCTACATGTTCATCATGTCCCTGGCCACGGCAGACTTCCTCGTGGCCTGTCTGGTGATGCCCTTCAGGTGAGGAGTGTCTGGGGGGTGACAGCACAGGAGGACAAATGTCCTTTCTCCCTGCTCTTGGGGCAGGGCTGGGATTCACCTGCTGGGCTCTCCCAAGGGCTGCTGGCTGTATGTGCTTCCCTGACTCTGCTCTGTGTTACAATCCCCTCGTCATGCATGGAGACACAATTCCCAAGGGTTTTCCTCCTGCTGGCCTCACAGGGATCCTGGCTGCTGATCTGAACTTGATTTCCAGCTTTGTACGTGGAGCTCCAGTCGTTGCTCCCTCTTCCAGGACTAGCCCTGTATGTGGAATGTAAGGAATTTATTCAGGATGAGCAGAGTAATTTAGGGTTCCCCTACATTTCATGGAGGAAGGGGCTCTTGAGAGGGCAGGTGTCCCTGCATGAGGTTTATATTGATGGGAGCTTCACTACCTGGATAAAACAGTGAAACAAAAGCAGGAAGCAGCTGGCTTGTGGTCCTGGCTGTCTTGTCCTGCAAAGCAGCCAGAGGTTTGTGTAAATCAGGGAGCTGCACCCTGTTTTGAGTTCATGGGGCAACATGAGGAAGCTGAATTCTTTCCATGTTCTATGCTTCAGTTCTCATTGGGCTGCCTATTCCTTTGAATTTGGCACTGAAAGGTATTGTCCCAACAAGCAATTACAAACTGACTTAAAAGTTCATGGTATCAGGTGAAAAAAAGCAGTTAATGATGTTCTTTTAGAAAGAACTTTACTATAACTTAAATTCTGTGCTCAAGGAATTTAAAGTTCAGGTTCTGAAATTATAGAACCATAGTGTAGTTTGGGTTGGCAGGGGCCTTTAGGGGTCATCTAACCCAGCCCCTGCACTGAGCAGGGACACAGGGAGCTGGGACCCTTCAGCAGCACTGCCCCCACCTACAGCAGTTGCTGTGCTCTGGGACAGCCCTCACAACTCGATTTAGTGAGCTTGTGATGAGATGTAGATCAGGCATTGTTTTCTGACATCAGGTTGAATCTTTCCCCTTTGCTGGACACCTGAGCTCTGCAGCTCAGCAGCCCTGAGCTCGCTGTATTTTACCAGCAAGATGGGAAGTTACAAGACAATTAAAGCTTTGCAGGACTAGGGAATTACTCATCAAATTCACTCACAATGGTGATTTCAGCAGCACCTTGGGAGTTGCAGAAAGCTGGAGAAAGAAAGAAGCAAATGGCATCTCACTGAATGCTATAGAAACATGCATCAGCCTTCCTACAGCTGCCATATGTTCCTTCCTTCACTGCTCACTTCTCACAGGCCCCTCTTGACTTTGTTAGAAATATTTTTGGTACTGTGTCTGTTTTTGCTGGTGTGTTTACCTTGCTGAGGCATTTATGAGCCAAATAACATACAAGCTGTATGGGCTTCCTCCTAGGATGTTGTTGTTTTGTATTTTTTTTTTAACCAAGAGTGGAAATCCTTCCTGGTTTTGAAGCATTTGATTGGATGTGAAGTGAGTTTCTTGGAGATGTCCCGTGCCCCAGGAACTGTATTTGTGGGGTGCCCTGATGAAGGAAGGAATGATGAATCTGACTCCATGTATCAGAAGGTTAATTTATTATTTTATGATACTATATTATATTAAAGAATACTATACTAAATGATATCAAGAATACAGAAAGGATATTGGCCAAAGAGTGAAAACAACTCACAGCAGAATCCAGTGAAACAATGAAATCACCTGTGGGTAAACAATCTCCAAACACATTCCAAAGCAGCAAAACACAGGCAAATGAGATAATTTTTGTTTTCCTTTTTCTCTGAGGCTTCTCAGCTTCCCAGAAGAAAAATCCTGGGCAAATGGATTTTTTCAGAAAATATGAGTGTTTCATCTAGGAACTGGGGAGAAATCGTAAAAGACTGTGCTGTGCCAGGCACTGGAAAAATGCTATGACAGACAAGCTGTGCAGATGTAAATTTGGGGAGTTTTGTGGGGCAAAGGACTCTCTCAAGGCCCTTGGGCTGCAAGAAGCACAGCTTTGCTCTTGTTCAGTCATGCTCTAGGTGTGGGGTGCTCCTTTTTTGGGTTGTGCTTGGAGGATGAATCTCTGCTGTCGGAGCTGCCCACCTTTAGTACCTGTGTGATAAATACAGCGTTACCTCAGTCACAAAGAAATAGAAACAGAATGGTTTGGGTTGGAAGGAACCTTAAAGATAATCTTGTTCCAGCCCTGGGCAGGAACTCCTCCCACTAGAGCAGGCTGCTCACCCAGCCTGGCCTCACACACCTGCAGGGACTGCACAAAGAGCCCCTCCAGCTCTGATTTCCACCTGTTTCCTCTCCCAGCATCATTTACGAGGTGACAGGGATGTGGCTCTTTGGGAAGCTGTTCTGCAAAGTCTGGATCTCCTTCGATGTCATGTTCTGCACCGCATCCATTGTCACGCTGTGCTTCATCAGCCTGGACAGGTACTGCTCCGTGGTCACCCCCTACCACTACTCCAGGAGGATGTCCCGGGGCAGGTGAGTGCAGCTGCTGCTCCCTTTGGGTCCCTCCAGGCTGTCACTTGGCCATGGCCTACACTGAGCTGAGGCTGGATGAGCAGAGTGATGTGGAGAAAGGAACTTTCACTATTTAAAACTGCAGAAAATGCTTAACATGGTGAAGGAGAGGACAAGGAGGATGCAGCTGAGGCTCCTGGGAGAATATTTTTTGAGCTAAGGAAGGGTTGCAAAATGGGGTAGAAACAAACCAGTGATATGGGCTGAGTTGGACCTACAGGTTTTTCCCTGTGCAGTCATTTCACAGGAATTTCATAGAATGACAGAATGGCTTGGGTTGGAAGGGACCTTAAAGAAGACCTTGTTCCATCCCCCTGCTGTGAGCAGGGACACCTTCCACTAGACCAGGTTGCTCAAGCCTTGGCCTAAAACATTTTCAGAGATGGGGAAGGACTTTGAAGAACTTCTAAGGACTAGGTGAAGGGAGACCCAGAGGATGCATGTAGCTGTAGTCTTCCCTCTCTTGAACTCACCATCTTTTCTGAAGTGATATTCAGGGAAAACAAGAGTTTCTGAGTTCCCACAAGGGTTTCATGTGAAAGGCTGAAATGAGGACTGCAGGGTGAGGAAAGTCATCTGAGGGTGGGCAGAGAGGACACTGCAGCAGTGGAGTGCTTTACAGGGTGGGTTCAGGCATGTTTTTCACACTGTCACTCTTGCTTTGTGTGATTTGTGGACCACAGGCAAAGAGAGGAGGGGGCTCTGTGGCCCCCCTTGCAGATTCTGCCATCTGGTGTCCATCAGCTCCATCCTCATCAGGCCCCAGAGGGTGAGATAATGGCCAGATACTAAAGCTGAAAGCAAAAATATCTACATGCTGTTGCTTCAAATACTAACAAACATCTTCTGTAAAACCTTTCCTCATCTTTTCTCAGCCAGCTCTGAGCACTCCTTGAGCTGACCCCAATTCTGTCAACTACAGACCAATTACCCAATTGTAAGAGATATGCAAGTCTGGACTGGTTGTAGTCTAGCTTTTTCCCTTCTCCACGCCCTGCTGGACTGCTCAGCAGCGATATCCCACACAGGTTACCATGGGGATTGGATCGTACTGGATGTTCTCAACCCAAAATTACTCAGGCCCTCCCTCCACTCTGCATCTCTTTCCTTTTGCAGATGCATCGTGATGACCTGCACGGTCTGGGTCTATTCCTCCCTCATCTCCTTCCTTCCTGTCATGCAAGGCTGGAACGAGATCCCCGGGGTGGACTTTGATGCGGGCAGAGAATGCATCTTCGTCACCAACTGGGTTTTTGCCATCGTGGCTTCCGCCCTGGCCTTTTTCCTTCCCTTCATGGTCATGTGCAGCATGTACTTCTTCATCTACCGAGCCTCCCGCCTCAAGGCCACGCGCATCATGTCCCAGACGCTGGAGATCCACTACCACCCCAACAGCAAGAGGCAGAACCACCTGCAGCTGGAGAACAAGGCCACGAGGACCATCAGCATCATCATCTCCGTGTTCGTGCTGTGCTGGCTGCCCTACTTCGTGCTGAACGTCTGGCTGGCGGCCAGAGGCACCGACTCCACCAGCACCGTGCTGCTCGGCACCTTCAAGATCATCACCTGGCTGGGCTACTGCAACTCCACCATCAACCCCCTGCTCTACGCCTTCCTCAACAGGGACTTCCAGCACGCCCTCAGGAAGCTGCTCCTGTGCAGGCGCAGGTCTCAGGTGGACGCTGGGGAAGACATGGTTTCCATAGCCACGTTTTCCAAGACCGCTCCCAACCTGGAATACAGTGTGACGGTGCCCAACGGTGCCCCGAAGGGCAAACCCAAGTCATAGGGATTCAGGATCAGTTGCTGGAGGTGGTGATATAGAAAGTGCTGGAGCACATCCCAATGGAAAAACAAAGGGTAGGAAAATAGGGGAAGGAGGGGCCGGAATATTACAGCTGGGGACAATACAACAAAGATGCATTTCTTCACCTTCCACAGTTTCAACAATGAGGAACTCACATATTTTAGGGGCAATTTGTTACATATTAATGGAACTAATTAATTCCTAGATAATTATTTTTCTAATGAGCACTTTCTAAGACAAATTCAACCTTCATGGTGGGTAAAAAAACCCAAACCAGTACGGTATAATGTCACCTTACATTTGTGCACATCCTGGTGATCTGTGTCAGGTGGGACAGTGTTTCTTATCAAGCTACTGTAGCTTTTCATCTCGAAGTTTCATTACAGATTTGACCAGTTTTAATAACTCCACATGTGCCAGTCTGTGTATGGGAACTGAGGGATGTGCTCACTTCCTAAAGAGCCACCACTCTGCAGCCTGGGCTGTTGCTCAGGGTTCAGCTCACTGGCTTCTACAATATCTGGATATTCAGAACTTTCCGTGGCCTTCTGTGAATTACCTGTGGGTTTCCTTGTTAATTCTGGAAGGGGACATTCCCTATGGCAGACCCCAGGAAATGACAAAGACTTGCTGCAACAGCAGGAGCACTGCAGTTTCAAAGCTACAGCTTTGATACCATCTGAAGATGGGATGTGAACAGGAATTATTACTTGTGTGACCACTGTAGTAAATACCACAGAGACATAAAAAAATAATGATAAATGGAAATTATTATTTTTACTACTCCCAAGTGCTCATCTGGACTTCCAACAGCACTGGCTCCCTGTAGGAAAGCTACAAGTGCCTCACTGAAGGGTTACTCTGAAAAGGCAGCAGGGGATTGTCCTCAGAGGTAGCAAATGCAGTAGGACCTGCCTGGAGCAGCTGAGCTACTGAAGAAGCCAGCACAAGGGTCAGGAGTTCTCTCTCAAGAGCCTGGAAGAAAAAACAGCCCTGAGCTGGGCAACAGTGGTTCTCCTGTGAAATGATTCTCCATGGAGAGGGTGAGGTGTTCCAGACCCTTTGACTCCAGCAACAACATGGAATTGGCAACTAACTACACCTTATCCTGAGGGAAGCATCCTGTGGGCACAACGGTGGGCAGGGCAGAAATCCTGCTGCTGGCACCCAGCTCATTTTGGTAGAACAGGACAAGGAATGGGGTTTCACTCCCAAGAGCTATGGGGGAGGAAAGGAGGGATAGGCAATTTCCTGTGAAAGAATGGAACAGCACAGCAGAACCCCAGGCCAAAGCTCCTTCTGCAGGGCTGTGAGCTCACAGCTATCCCAGTTTGGGTGTTCTTCCACAAAACAGCTGTCGGGAAAGAACACATTATTCAGAGGAAACCCCTCCAGGTCAGAGAAAAACCTTTCTCTGTCAAACCCTGGAGCAACAAGGGACAAAGACAGGGACAACACACTCCAGTGCTTAGAGAAGCAAAGACTGACCAGGCAGCTCAGAGCTGAGCATGGCCAGATGCTTTTGTGGCTGGGCAGAGACCCCACAGGGGAGGACTCATCCACCCCTTGCAGGGCAAATGCAACACCCCAGAATATGCAGACACACCATAGGTGTCAACACATATGCCAGTTCTGGTACTGAATGCTGCAGGGCCCTTGGAATAGGCAGCTACCCACATCCACATACACAGCAAGTTAAAAATACCTTAATCCTCATTTCCTGTGCTGCACCTGTAATCACTGAGCTGGCAGGGAGGGCAAAGAGGCTCCACACGTGGCCATTTCACTGTGCAGCTGCAGCTGATGCAAACAGGGACAGCCAAGGGGAGAGGACACACTTAACTCTGCTGCTTTAACCCAGCTAAACACAAATTCTGTTCCTGATGAGACACTCACTGCAGCATTCTGGTTTCACCTGGACAAGCCAGTATCTGGGAGAGTTATCCAAGAGGACATGGAAGACAACCATTGTAATCTACTGCCTTATCACAAAGCTGCAGGGTGTCAGCTGATTTAATTGCTGCTCACAGTGTCACACCACAGCAGAGTAATCCTCAGAAGGATTTGAGTCCAGTATCTTTTTAAGAAACTGATCTCAGAGACTTTAACAAATTTAAGTCTGTAAAACAGAAAAATAAAATGGTACAACAACAGCTCTAACAGCATAAGAATTATCCCTTCTCCCCTCTCTGGTGAGCAATTGCATCTATAATCCACCCAGTTTAGAGCTCAATTCCCTTCTTTCTCCAGATCCTGTCTCACTTCCAAGCAGCACATTGCGTTTTGCGTCATCACACACGCTGTGGCCAGTGTGAGACAGGGAAGCAAAGGAAGTTTCAGGAATGCAGAGCCCATCCTGTTCCCACTGCACAGGGCTGCCATCTGCAGCACACACCGATGCAGGCTTCCAACAGAAGCAACTACTATTTTGTCTTATAAATAAAAAAAGTTTATTAAATCATTTAGACTTGAAAGAAGTCACAATAATCAATGCACTCAACAATTACAGCAAGTGCATCCTGTACACCACCAACCCAAATGGATTGATTCTGTATTTTATAAATAAAAATTAACATATTTACAGTGAGAAATAAAAGCATGGCATTAGGCAGTTAAATTAGCAGATTACACAAATGCCTACCAGTTGATTTTTTTTAAAGTACAAATCTACAAGATTACATACGACATGTATGACTTCATTAGGTTTAAATTTTCAGAATCACAACATTTTTGCACATAATTTTGACTATGGCTCTTCCAACCACTGCCTATAAAACCCCCCATTTAATGGCAAAAAGCTCCTTTTCCTTCTCTACAGCTTCATCTGTGTAAGATGCATTCCCTAAGATCTACTGTAGTGCAGAAGTATGAAATTATTTCCTCTAATGACAGGCTATGGACAGTGACAATATGTACAAATGTGGTACTTTTTTGCTTTAAAAATAGTGCAGATTCCCACTTTACCCACCAGGGACAAAAATGGAGTCAAAGTTAATTTGAAAATCATCTTCATTTCACCAAAGAGCAAGTGACCCAGATAGACACTCACTAGGCTTAGAGACTGTAATTTGCTCTATAAAAATACAGTATTTTAATTCTATTTACATGTTACAGATCTCTCACTCACCCAGCAAGCTGACATTTACAAGCTTCAAAAAACCCCAAGAAACCCCCCCAAAAAAAGGATAATGGAGCACAATATTGGCAAGCACAGCAGCTGGACCCGTCCGCTTAGGAGAGCAAAGGTAACGAAAATGGAATGTGAAAGGTTTGGTTACTGGGCTTCATTGGCTGTCAAAGTAAACAAAAATCTGTCCAACATGTCTTCTACATTAAACATGGCAAAAAAAGCTGAAGTAAACTATTCCCAAGATGAACATTCTGCATCATAGGATCCTTCTGCTGAACAATCCCTGTGAAACCTGCCGAGTGGAAGAAGTGATCCTGAGGATAGTTATTTGCTTGGTTGTCTGGAATGTTTATTTCCTGATAGGCTCATTGTCCGTGACCTCTGCCTGAGCACGGGCTTGGGTGGGAGCTCCAAGTCTTCAAAGACAGGATTTTCTATGATTGCTGCAGCCTCTGGTCGTTCAGTGGGACTTGGAGAGAGCATGTCCTTCACCATGGTGTACTGAAAGAAAACACAACACCTATTACATGAACTAATCCACGAACTCTTCCTCATTTCATGTCCTGGTGTCAGCTGTGGCTGTGTGAACTAGTGGAAAATACCCCCAGCTGCTTTCTGAGTTATTTGGCTCAGCAGTTAGGTGTGCACTAAATATTTTAAAATGTATCACTGTGCATCTGTTAAACTGTCTTTACTGTCACTGGACTCAAGATTTAATTGAGTTATAAAAAACTTCACATTATTTGCAATCAATCATGATACATCATTTATATGTAATTTTTAGATTCATGTTTAGCCATCACATATTTAGGCACACTGAATTTGTCTAGTGGCAAATTAGAATTTTTCCTTCAAATATACAAGTAGTTTGAATATTTGTTTCAAATTTAATCAGAATTAGTGTCCTGCTCCTGCTGAGCACAGCAGCTTTCTCCCAGGCAGCTTTCAGCTGTAAAGCAGGAAAGGCTGCTCTCATTTGGCCACTGGTCTGAAGCTATCCTGAAGACCTGAAAGAACCTCAGCTTTTTACTGGGGAGGTTTTGTACATCACCTCGTCTTTAGCTACAACCACATCACTTAACAGACCTGACTAATGAGAACAGAGCACAATTTGCTCATGTGATTTCCCTCTTGGGAGGTCCAGTTCTGGAGGGGATCCCATACAGCCATGGTGCTACCTAGAGCCTCTCCTTTACCTGTCTGAAGTCTTGCACTTTCTCTTTGGGAAAATGGATTTGTTGCAGGAAATCATGACAGGATGTATGTGAAATGAATGACTGTAAGTGACAAAGGGAAGCCAGGTAAAAATATATTCCTGGAGGAAAACTGTGACAGAAGTGTCATTGTGCCCATTATTGCAATGTTATAGCTTTGAAATGTAGAGAAGTACTGGGATAGAGAAATGCATCTTAATAACATGAAAGCAACGTGGTTTCTCCATTTTTACCTGCAAAGCAGTTGGAAAGCAAAGGAAAAAAAGCTACAATTATTAATGAAAAGGCTATAATTAATAGCATCAGCTGTACCTACCTCTTGTGCATATTTCTGAGTGAACAATGGTGGAAACTTCAAATTTCGAACATCACTTAAGGTCTGCAAAAATATGAACAACGACATGTAACTTTTCCAAAATATAATTCCTTAGTAATATTATCCTACATCCTTCAAAAATATGCAAATTATGCAAAGAAATCAGCCTGCTGGAAAGAAAGCCCTTTGTTTTCAAGTGCTGCTTTAGTGGTTAAAAATCACAACAGGTGAGTTGCTGCTTCCCTAGGTACTGAGCCTGCAACAGGAGGAGTTGTTCTACAAGAATTGTGATCTCTGCAGTTTTAAATCAGTCAGACACATG